GGGGCGGCGGGGAGGATGGCGCCGGTCCCGCTCCTTCTCCCCCCCCCGCCCCGCCGCCTCCGCCTGTCAGAGGGCCGGTCCCCTCCTGTCGCCCGCCTGACAGGGAGGCGCCGCTCCCCGCCCGCCGCGGCGGTAGGGGCTCGGTCCGTGCCCGCCGACCGCCTGTCAGGGGCGGCGGGGAGGATGGCGCCGGTCCCCGCACGCTGCCGGGCGCCTGTCAGAGGGCGAGTGCCCCCCCGCCATGGCTCTGCCCTGTCAGGGCGTGAGGCCAGTGTCCTCCCACCATGGCTCCCTGTAAGAGGGCCCATGCCCCCCTGCCATGGCTCTGTCCTGTCAGACGGGGAGTGCCCTCCCTTCATGGCTCTGCCCTCTCAGGGGGTGAGGCTGGTGCCCTCCCGCCATGGCTCTGCCCTGTCAGAAAGCCCGTGCCCTCCCACCATGGCTCTGCCCTGTCAGGGCGTGAGGCCAGTGTCCTCCCACCATGGCTCCCTGTAAGAGGGCCCATGCCCCCCAGCCATGGCTCTGCCCTGTCAGGGGGTGAGGCTGGTGCCCTCCTGCCATGGCTCCTTGTCAGAGGGCCCGTGCCCCCCCGCCCTGGCTCTGCCCTGTTAGGGGGTGAGGCCCGTGCCCTCCCGCCATGGCTCCTTGTCAGAGGGCCTGTGCCCTCCCACCATGGCTCTGCCCTGTCAGGGGGTGAGGCCGGTGCCCTCCCGCCATGCCTCTGCCCTGTCAGAAAGCCCATGCCCTCCCACCATGGCTCTGCCCTGTCAGGGGTGTGAGGCCATTCCCAATTCAGCCATGGCTCCCCTGTCAGTGGGGTGACGCCAGTGCCCTCCTGCCATGGTCCTCTCCAGCCGTGGCTCCCCTTGTCAGGGGGTGAGGCTGGTTCCATCCCGCCATGTCTCTCCCCTGTCAGGGCACGAGGCCAGTCCCCTCCCAGCATGGCTCCCTGTCAGAGAGTCAGTCCCCTCTGGTCATGGCTCCCTGTCATGGGTGGTGAGGGCTGGTCCCCTTCCGTCTCCCCCTGCCTGACAGAGGCCAGGGCAGTGCAGGGAGACGAGGGGGTAGATGGACCCCAAAGGTGCCCCCGTCAGCGGTGTGGGGGTCCACAGGGTGGGCTGGAGGCCGAGTCCCCCCATTGTAGCCCTAGCCAGCCAGCCATGCCCCTTGCTTGCTCAGAGCTGCTGGTAACGATGCTCCATGGTTCTCAGCTGGGAGCTGGCAGGGCCAGTAAGGAACCCCTCATCCCATTTTTCTTTTGGGAGAGAAGTGCTAATAACAGCCCTCCCCAGCCTAACTTTTCCGTGGAGAAGGGTCAGCCCCAAGAGAACACCCTCCCCGCATTTAAACTAAGTCAGAGTTGCCATAAGACGTCCTACCAAAATAGTTAGGTCATTGGTGGGGGATACACCCTCCCCCACTGAATTAATTAGGAAGCTTACCATTAGTAACAAGAGTTGAAATTTTAGCAGAGTTAAGCGCATGTGAAAATTAGAGAAGTCTTGCCGCTGCTTAAACGTTCTCGTTATTACTGCCCAGGGTGTAGTAAAACCAAGAGAAGCAACAGCAACCTCATTTTGTCTCGCCCTCCCCGCTTCCTTTCGGAAACCGAAAAGGTAGTGCTTTTCTCAGGCCAAAAAGCACATCGGTTCTCAAGTCTTTGCTCCTTGGGCCCTGCTTCTGCCCGTCCAGCCTGCTGCGCGGCGGGAGGAAGCTGTCTCCTGCAACGGCTAACCTCTTACCCACAGCTCCTCTATTTATAGCTCTGCGTGCAGCTGAGGAACCACACCTGAAACCTCTCCCCTAACATCGCTCTTTCCGAGCAGGCCTCTCTCAAACTCCTCTGGTTGCAGGGAACGGACTCGGTGGTGGTCTCTCCGCCGCCCCGTTGGAGGGAGGGAAAAGCCGTGTGCTTGCTCCCCCTCGGATGCCAGCTCCTGGAAAAGTGGGATTTTGCCCGGTGTTGAATGTGGGATGGTTTAACCCGTGGTGTGCTGCCCGCTAAACGAAGCGTCTCGCCGGCATCGCTAGATGCGGAGGAGGAATGTTGATTGTTCCCCAGCTTTTTTCGAATCGAACCGATTGAAAACTCTTCTTTTAAGACGAGTTCTGGGTTTTGTCTTGCCGCCTTTGTCTGACTTGCGCTCCCAACCGTATGCTAATACTGCGGCAGATGATTGGGTAGCATCTGGCATCGCTGTCTTAGCTCTTTGCATCTGCCCTTTCCTTTCTGCCGTGCTGCCTCGTGAAGCCTGGCTGAAAAGATGGCACTTGAGCCTACGGGTTTGAATCCTCTTTTCTGGATGGCTCCTGGTTTCCTGCCGATTGCTAAAACTGAACTTTTCTGCGTAGGATTATTCTTTCCAGAATGAAATGCCAGACTTTTCTCAAGCCAGACAGTCACTGCTGACTGTGTTGGAATATATTTAATGTAGAAGGCCCAAGTAACTTCAGCTATTTGCTCAGAATGACCTTTTTTATAAACACTTTTAGCCACGTGTTTGTCCCATCAGGACGTAGGGGTGTCAGTGGTTTATGCATTCCAGAAAATGTGGGGAAAATGCAGTAAGTCCTAGTATTTCCAGGTTTTCCTTTTTGCTTTGCAGAGAATGATATGTAACCTCATTAAGTTCATTAAGGCGCCTTAGTTAGCTGCCTAAAAACCTGAGGTTTATGTTTTTATGATTTCTTAAGGCTAGGAAAAAACCCAAAAGGGATTGGACAAAGCTTCATTTGCTGCCATGGTCTAAATAATAATAATAGTCATTAAGAACGACTCTTGCAAGATTAACCCGTGTTGCAATCTACCTTATTTGCATTTTGAAACTTGCTTCTTTCAGAACTGCTTGATGGTATTTTAACATGTCACGCTTTAGGAACCTCAGATAAAGCAAACCAACTTCCAGTAGTTTCTGGTGGGATGGTTTTTGCCCCCCGCTTCACGTATATCCCTGAGTCTTCTGACCTTTGTGATTACCATGAAAAAGCTATTAAAAGAGGGGTGTGGTGGAAATACTTCACAAACCCTGTAGTAGATCCAAATTTGAGGTTAGCCCCTTCTCTGTAACCAGCTGAGCCTTCATCCTTCGGACTTTGCTGCCGCTGTTGCCTAAAACCCTGTTAAAGAAACGCTTGAACGCAATTTTTGTTGAAGATGCAAGACTGTAATCTGCTCATCACCGACTCTACAATCCTCTCTTTTTAATGTGGGAAAGTGGTAGGAATAAATGTTTCAAATTTTAGGAGGCCTTCCAGCATGGTTAGCAGTGATGCAGATCTTCTGCCAAACGACCGCAAAATTGAAACTAAAAACTTACCAGGCAACTCATAGCTTCGAGTTTGTTGATTTCACTCCAGATTACAGGTTTGGAAAAAATAACTAGTCATTTATGTCTAGAGAAATAACTTCTGTACAGTAAGAGGACTTATTTCTGCACAACAAAACTGAAACAAATAAAAAAATGTTTTTATGGCTGCAGGCAGGGCTGGCATAGGAAATTTATCTTTCTCTTTTTTTTCTTTTTCTTTTTTTTCTTCTCCTTTTCATTCTGTTATAGCTATGAGGCAGATTTCAGCACTGCTATATTTAAAACAAATGAAAATCTGTTTTGATCCAGTAAGTAGAGCAGGCCAAATACATTCAGAAGAGTTATGTCACTCTAGCCCTGTTGGGGGAAAAAAATAATAAAAAAAAAAAAAAGAGAAGAATGCTAATAAACACTATGCTGTTAAAGTCTGTAGTTGGGCACAAAGTGGGTTTTTGGTTTGTGTGCCTTTTACAGGCGACTATTTCTTAAATGCCTGCATCGTCAGGATTTGGCACGATCCCTTAAAGAGCAAGGCCACCCTTTTTTTGGCGACTGTAGGCCGACGATGATGAAAATGTGCATGGCATTTTAATTTGGACATCTTCAGAAGAATTCACTTAAACTTCCAATTGCCTAATTTTATGCAGACAGTCAGGAGAAAAACACATTTCCTTGCATGTCTCTGGATTTGAGGATGCCCAAATGACACCGGAGGCCTGGCTTGGGTGGCAGAATCCTCCTCGATGGTGACAGAGAAGTTCTGGAGCCGAGTTTGAGGGAGGACAGGATCGCTGCATTTAGTAATATAAACACATTTGATGTAGGGAATAGCACATTAAAAATCGTGATGCTGAATGTAGGACAAATGCAAAAGTAGCACAGAATAATAAATGCTTGGTTTAGGGCTCTAATCCACCCGTCAGGG